TTTTCCTGCTTATGTGGTGCTGAGGAATCGAACCCAGGGCCTCATGCATGCAAGGCAAGCACTCTACCACTGAGCCACCTTCCCAGCTCCAGTCTGCTAGGTTCTAATGACATAATCCTAACTACTTAGGAGGCTGAGATTGGAGAATCACAGTTTGAAGCTAGCCTAAACAGAAAAGTCCATGAAACTCCTTTCTCTAGTTAATTAGCAAAAAGCAGGGCTGAACTTATGACTCATGTGGTAGAGTGCCAGCTATGAGCAAGAAAGCCAAGCGAGAGCACAAAGTACTGAGCCCAAACTCAGGAAATGGAAATGGGGGGAAGAGAAAGGATCCTGGACCACTGGAAGTGGCCAGTTGGAGATTGATGACTGCTGTTCTTCCCAGGTAAGATGCTGGTTCTGGATTACATTCTGGCAGTGACCCGAAGCAGCAGCAGTGACAAAGTAGTGCTGGTGTCTAATTATACCCAGACGTTGGATCTCTTTGAGAAGCTCTGCCGAGTCCGAAGGTAGGGAATAACCTAACCAGGCCTGCAAAGGGATACATCTCCACTATTGCTGTAGGAAGATTAGCTATTCTGATTGGCAGATGTTTGCCAAGCTGGGGTTATAGGAAGGACTTCTGTGAAGAGGACTCTTTCCTTATTGCTGTAATAGTCCTATATCCGTCTCTAAGCATGGTGCTTCCTGGTCCTTCAAGTACTCTCCTAGGACAGAGTTCTGGACCTTAGCTCCTTGCCCTTCCCTTAGAGCCTCTGGCTACATGTAAGCAGCATCAAGCACATCAGTCTTGGTCCCTTCTGTAGCTTTGACTCCAGGTGATCCTTTCTTTTTGGGTCTTGATCTTTTCTTTTTTTTTTCTTTGCTGGTTGTGGGGCTTGAACTCCTGGCCTGGGCACTGTCCCTAGGCTTTTTGCTCAATGCTAGCACTCTACCTTGAGCCACAACACCACTTCCAGTTTTTTCTGTGTTTGTGGTACTGAGGAATCGAACCCAGGGCTTCATGCAGGCTAGGCAAGCACTCCACCGCTGAGCCACCTTCCCAGCTCCGGGTCTTGATCTTTTCATCTCCCTTCAGGTATTTGTATGTCCGCCTGGATGGCACAATGTCCATTAAGAAGCGAGCCAAAGTTGTAGAGCGTTTCAACAGTCCATCGGTAAATACATATCCTGTATTTCAGCCCCCTGTCACAAGTGTAGTCACATCAGCATTAAGGGTCAGCAGATGCTCTAAGGGGACTCTGCTTCAGTTTTATTTGTTGGAGTTGTGGATTAGGCTGGTTGGTGATAGCTGGGTTGGAAACTGACATTGTGGGTTGGGAATTTGGTGTATAATCAGAAAGAAACTAGTGGTGCTCACAACTGGTCTGAATATGAGTATAGAAAGGTGAGAAAAGAGCTAGCTAGGCTGAGCAAGAGCCAGTTTGGGTTATAACACAGGTTCTTTTTCTTCTCCTTCCTTTGTTTCCAGAGTCCTGATTTTGTTTTCATGCTAAGCAGCAAAGCTGGAGGCTGTGGCCTTAATCTCATTGGGGCTAACCGGCTGGTCATGTTTGACCCTGACTGGAACCCGGCCAATGATGAACAAGCCATGGCCCGAGTCTGGCGTGATGGTCAAAAGAAGACTTGCTATATTTACCGCCTACTGTCTGTAAGGATGATGATAGTCAAATGGGGTGTGTCTTTTCAGCACTACCTTAAATTGTTTTTCGGTGTCTCCTTTTAGTCTTTCTGCTTCTATCAGTGGCCACCCTGCGGACCTACCTTCCAGCTCTTTCTACTGTTCTCCATGTTCCCTCCACCTGATTCTTTCTAATGTTCTTAGTGCTCTCTAAATGCTTGTCCACATTCTTTTTACAGAGCACCTACTTTACTTTCATCCAATTTCAGCTGTATTGCTTGCCATGTACTTTTTTCATACCTATGTCCTGTGGGGCTAAGAAATGGCAGTGGCATCTTCTATTTCTTTTGCCTCTTGCTGCTGCTGCCTTTTTCTCTCTCCACTCTTTTCTTCCCTTCCTTCCTTCCCTCCCTTCCTCTCCCTTCCTCTCTCCCTCCCTCCCTCCCTCCCTCCCTCCCTCCCTGCCTCCCTCCCTCTCTTTCTCTCTCTCTTTCTTCTTTCCTTTCTTTCTTCCTTTCTTTCTTTCTCTCTTCCTTTCTTTTTTTTTTGGTCGGTCATGGGGCTTGAACTCTGGGCCTGGACGCTGTCCCTCAGCTCTTCAGCTCAAGGCGAGCGCTCTACCACTTGGGCTACAGCGCCACTTCCGGTTTTCTGGTAGTTTATTGGAGATAGGAGTCTCACGGTCTCTCCTGCCCGGGCTGGCTTTGAACCGCGATCCTCAGATCTCAGCCTCCTGAGTAGCTAGGATTACAGGCGTGAGCCACCAGCGCCCGGATCTCTCTCTTTCTCTCTCTCTCTTTTTCTCTCTCTCTTTTTCTCTCTCTTTCTTTCTCTCTCTCTTTCTTTCTTTCTTTCTTTCTTTCTTCCTTTCTTTCTTTCTTTCTTTCTTTCCATCAGTTGTGGGGCTTGAACTCTGGGCCTGTGCACTGTCCCTCAGCTATTTAGCTCAAGGCTAGCATTCTACCTTTGGGGCCACAGCACCACCTCCAGTTTTCTGGTGGGTTAATTAGACTTAGATAAGAGTCTCATGGATTACAGGTGTGAGCCACTGGTGCCCAGCTCTTTTTTTTCTCTTTATAGCTGGTAGCAGGACTTGAACTCAGGGGACTTTCATGTTCTCGCTCAGTTTTTTCACTCATGGCTACTGCTCTACCACTGGAGCTATACTGCCAGTTTGGGATTTTACTGATTAATTAGAGGTGGAATCTCATACTTTGTGCTTGGCTTGGCTTTGAACCACAGTCCTTAGATCTCAGCCTCCTGATTAACTAGGATTACAAGTATGAGCCATATATACTTGCTGTAGTCATTTAACCTCTGCTGTATTCCCGACTCCCCAATGATTTGAGTAGTAGCTATCTTCATTTCTTTCCCAAATCTATGAATCATCTTTTTTTGGGGGGGGAGGGTCCGGTCGTGGGGCCTGAACTCTGGGCCTGGGCACTGTCCCTCAGCTCTTCAGCTCAAGGCTAGCGTTCTACCACTTGAGCCACAGCGCCACTTCCGGCTTGTTTTCCTGCTTATGTGGTGCTGAGGAATCGAACCCGGGGCCATGCATGCAAGGCAAGTGCTCTACCATTGAGCCACCTTCCCAGCCCCTCTATGAATCATCTTAATTGAGGCCCATGCCATTTTTCTAGCAGTTGCAGTGTACGTTTCCTTTACTTCATTGCTAATGACCTAACTCCCCCTCATCGAATTTACTCTGAAGGCCATACTGTGGAACTTATTGGTCCCCAAGACTTAAACTATTATCCTGTTCCTATATCCTGTTTTTACAGCTTTCTCATACTCTCTGTCTACTTTAATGTCCTTATAATTTCTCCCTTTTCCCCAGTCTAGCTTAGTTTCCTTTCTTACCTGGCTTGATTTTCACTGTGCATCATTTTAGCCACTCTTATCCACTTAATATTCATTTCAGTTGGGTTATTTTGTTTTCAGGTCTGCACCAACTAAAGTTTGCATTTACAGATGGGCACTACCACAAATTTATTCTTTTTCGGATTGTACCTTATTTCCTTAAACTACCATTTCAGACTTTCACCACCTCCCTCAGAATTTCTCCTTAACCTTGTCTCATTCTTTTTTTTTTTTTCCTGTTGGTCATGGGGCTTGAACTCTGGGCCTGGGCGCTGTCCCTCAGCTCTTCAGCTCAAAGTGAGCACTCTACTACTTGAGCCACAGCGCCACTTCTGGTTTTCTGGTGTTAATTGGAGATAATAGTCTTACAGACTTTCCTGCCTGGGCTGGCTTTGAACAGCATCCTCAGATCTCAGCCTCCTGAGTAGCTAGGATTACAGGCATGAACCAGTAGCACCTGGCTCTGTCTCATTCTTATACAAAGACTGTCTTTTTCTTTCACAAAGTATGCTACTAGGCATAAATTTTCACTTCCCTTGCTACCCCTGATCTTCCTTTTCCACCTCAGAGAGAGAGGAATCTATATCTTTTCTGAGGTTTATTCTTCTATGTCTCAATCTCTTCCCTTCCTTTTTTTTTTTTGTCAGTCATAGGCCTTGAACTCAGGGCTTAGGTGCTATCTCTGAGTTTTTTTTGCTCGAGACTAGTGCTCTACCACTTTGAGCCACAGCTCTACTTCCAGTTTTCTGGTTGCTAATCTGATGTAGAAGCTAGCCCAGGCAGAAAAGTCCTTGAGACTGATCTCTAGTTAACTAGCAAAAAAGCCACATTGGAATTATAGCCCAAGTAGTAAAATGCCAGCCATGGAAAAAAAAAAAAAAGAATGTGAGGCCCTGAGTTTAAGCCCTGTTTTAACCCAGATCTCTTAACTTAAGCTCTTAGATGCATATATTTCTTTTACTTAATCTCCCCCCTGCCCTTTTTCTGTACCTTTCTTCTTTCTCCTCTATCATCATCTCCCATTTTCTCCCTCTCCTTTGGAATATTGGGAATGGATTCTAAGATCTTGTTTGTGCTAGGTAGGAACTTTTACACTGAGCTAAGGGCTGGCCTTCTACTTGAATGTCACATGAAGACCATGACCAAAATTATTCTCCTTATGACTTCGGTCATTTAATGGCTCTTTTATCCATCCAGTCATAGTCTTAACCAGTTATTTGGTTTTATTTTCTTGAAATGTCTTTCATATAACTCTGCATTTCCTAAGATCATAGTCATCTCTCACTTGAATATTGTAAACAATGACTTGATTCTGTATCTTTTTTTTTTTTATTTCCGGTCGTGGGGCCTGAACTCTGGGCCTGGGCGCTGTCCCTCAGCTCTTCAGCTCAAGATTAGCACTATACCACTTGAGCCACAGCGCCACTTCCAGTTTTTTGTTTTTTGTTTTTTTCTTTTTTGCTTATGTGGTGCTGAGGAATCGAACCCAGGGCCTCATGCATGCAAGGCAAGTGCTCTACCACTGAGCCACCTTCCCAGGCCCTTTTTTTTTTTTTTTTGCCAGTCTTGGGGATTGAACTCAGGGCCTGGGCACTATCTAAGCTTTATTTTGCCCAAAGCTAGTGCTTAAGCCACAGCTCCACTCTGGCTCTTTGGGTGCTTAATTGGAGATGAGTCTCATGGACTGTTGCTTGGCCTGGCTTCCCAATTGTGATCCTGAGATCTCAGCTTCTTGAGTAGCTAGTATTACAGCAGTGAGCCACTTGTGCCTGCCTTAATTCTCTATCTTTTGCCTTAACTTGTCAAGTCTTTACTGCTACAGGCTGGCCTCAGATTCGTGTGTGGGTGTGGGTGTGGGTGTGGATGCGCACGCATGCAAGCACTCTAAGACACATTCCCAACCTCTTCATCTCAATTTTTTTTTTGGGGGTGGGGTCCAGTCGTGGGGCCTGAACTCTGGGCGTAGGCACTGTCCCTCAGCTCTTCAGCTTAAGACTAGCACTATACCATTTGAGCCACAGCGCCACTTCCGGCTTTTTTCTTTTTGCTTATGTGGTGCTGAGGAATCGAACCCAGGGCCTCATGTATACAAAGCAAGCACTCTACCACTGAGCCACCTTCCCAGCCCCTCATCTCAAATTTTTTATTTCAAGCAAGTCTCATTTTTTTCAGCCTCTTGAAAACTGAACTTTTATAGTCCTTTAAAATAATCTTGACTTGTTTTGTTCTTGCCTTTGTTTTGCTGGGAATGCCTTCACTTTGCTTTTGAAATTGAGCTCAAGAATAATTGACTTTTGCCAGGTGCTGGTAGCTCACGCTTGTAATCCTTGCTACTTAGGAGGCTGAGATCTGAGGATAGGTTCAAAGCCAGCCTGGGCAGGAAAGTCTGTGAGACTCAAATCTCCAATAAACCACTCAGGAAACTGGAAGTGGCACTGTGGCTCAAGTGGTAGAGTGCTGGCCTTGAGCTGAAGAGCTGAGGGATAGCACCCAGGCCCAGAGTTCAAGCCCCATGACCAACCAAAAAAACAAAAGAATAATCAACTATTCTAAATTCCTTTTGTAGGCTCCTAGGTATCCTGTACAGATTTTTCTCATTGTTTTTCTTAATTTGCTTACTGGTCTCCACTTGCACCTGACTTCAAGGATTAGGATCATATTTGATTTTCCTTGCATCTTAATGTTAGCATAGGATCTCGCATCAAGCAGGTATTCAAATGGTTTTTTTTTTTTTTTTTTGGCCAGTCCTGGGGCTTGAACTCAGGGCTTGGGCACTGTCCCTTAGCTTCTTTTGCTCAAAACTACCGCCACTTCTGGCTTTTTCTGTTTCTGTGGTTCTACCCAGGACCTCATGCATGCTAGGCAAGCACTGTACCATTAAGACACATCCCCAATCCACCAAATGATGATTATTAAGTGAAGAAGAGTTAGACTTGATATGAAGGTCTGAAGATGCTGTCAACAACCTCAGCTCATCGTAAGAGATCTATCCAGGCCTTAATTCTTCACTGCAAATAGCCTGGATGGGCAGACATGCATGAGTCATGTTTCTAAGATCCAAACTGGGGAAATGGGCTTTAGTTGTATGACTATAGCCAACTCTTGGGTTTCCCTATTCTGTCTGTATGGGAATTATGAACCCTATATCCTTCACCCACCTCCCCTAGGCAGGAACAATTGAGGAGAAGATCCTCCAACGGCAGAGTCACAAGAAGGCACTGAGCAGCTGTGTGGTGGATGAAGAACAGGATGTAGAGCGTCACTTCTCTCTGGGTGAATTGAAGGAGCTGTTTACTCTGGATGAGGCCAGCCTCAGTGACACACATGACAGGTGGGTGGAATGCCCATGCCATATATTATCTTTGAGCTACTAGCACAGTGCTGAAATGGGATCAGTAGTGACCAAAACTATCCTTAACTCCAGGCTGCACTGCCGACGCTGTGTCAACAACCGCCAGGTCTGGCCACCCCCTGATGGTTCTGACTGCACTTCAGACCTGGCTCAGTGGAACCATAGTACAGATAAGCGGGGGCTCCAGGATGAGGTACTCAAGGCTGCTTGGGATGCTGCCTCCACTGCTATCACCTTCGTCTTTCATCAGCGTTCCCATGAGGAGCAGCGGGGCCTCCGCTAACCAGCTGGTCTCTGGTGTAGCTTGTTAGAAGATGGACACAGGGAAAAGGGGCTCCCTGCCCTACAGAGCCCTGATGAATTTTGTTCTCTGGGAGAAAAACCACCAAGAAGGGCTTCATGATGTTTGCCCAAAATTTATTTTATAAGAAAACTTTTTTGGTTAAAAAAAAGAAAAGAATAAAGGTATGAAAGGAACTTGAGACCTGGGAGCAGAGTGGTAAGCCCAAGAGGGAAGAGGCCTGGAAGTGAGCACTCCTACACTGTCTAAAGCTTGGGTCCTTGCTTGAATAGGAAAAGCAGGAACCCTAGGGCAGGGGAGAGGATTGAAAGTGATGATGACTAACATCCTGGCCCAGGGTTCCCAGGGTATTGAATAAGGGGCTCAAAGGCTCTAAACCCAAGTGCGGGAATGCCTCTACAGGGCCCCATCAAGGCATCCAGGACCTCAGTGCAAGGGAAGATGGAAAAAAGACAAAAGGTGACAGATAGAGAACAATAGGTGGTTGGGGATTCTGGGCAGCCCATGCCTCAGCTCCTGCAAGCTGGTGGTACTGAGCATGGTTCTATGAGGTATGGGCCCCATCACATGGTGCTGACATAATCTGCAAAGGCCTGGGATGAGTCCCATGAGTCGCTAACCACGTGGCAGGTGGCCCGGAGCCGCCGGATCGCTTCCCTGGCTGTGACTGCATCCTGGTCCAGCCAGTTCTGGAAAAGGCGCAGGTGACCAAAGGCTCCACGGCCCCAGCGCTCCAGCCGCTTGGCAAATTCCAGAAGCCCATCTGGCTTGATACAATTAGAACTGGTAGGAGTGAGATAAATTATTAGATATACAAGTAGCAACTTATTCTTTTTTTTTTTTTTTTCGGGGCCCGGTTGTGGGGCCTGAACTCTGGGCCTGGGCGCTGTCCCTCAGCTCTTCAGCTCAAGGCTAGCGCTCTACCACTTGAGCCACAGCGCCACTTCCGGCTTTTTTTCTTTTTGCTTATGTGGTGCTGAGGAATCGAACCCAGGGCCTCATGCATGCAAGGCAAACACTCTACCACTGAGCCACCTTCCCAGCCCCGCAACTTATTCTTAAGTATATCCCCATAGTCCCATCCCTTGTCCACCTTCCCTTCACCCCCATCCCCCCAATGTACCTGATGTCCAACTGACAGAGAGAAGAGGAAGAATCTTCTGAGAAGACATCTGCCAGGGCCAGCAGACCAGCATTCCCTGGAGAGAAGGAGAGAAGTGTCCATTACCTTCACTCAAGAAACAATGGTATCTTAACCCAACTCTGACTGAGAAGAAGCCCTCCTAGGTCCCGGAGCCCCAGTTCACTATATTCCAGCCCTCATATCCAAAGGAGAGGTCTTTACCCACTAAGTTTCTATGTCAAAGGCCTGGCTCCTTCCCTCTTCCCTCCCCAGGGTCTGGCCCCCACCCAGTCGGTTCCCAGGCAGCCGAAGGCCTTTCAGTGTGGAGTTGCCCTTCATAGCAGCCACCATCTCAGGCAGGAATTGGGCTGGGCGCTTCTCAAACAGACGACAGAAGGAGAAGGTAATCTCTGTCAAGAGAAATAAGAGTAAACACCAATGGCTGCCTTAGGACTGCTGTTACTCCTCTACCCTAGGAAACCCAAAGAAGGTATATGAACATTTTGTAGAGGCCCAGAAGACAGGAACTACAGAATTCAAATAAGGAAGCCGGGCTCTGGTGGCTCAAACCTGTAATCCTAACTACTCAGGAGGTTGAGATCTGAGGATCGCAGTTCAGAGCCAGCCGGGGCAGGAACACTGGTGAGACTCTTATCTCCAATTAATCACCAAAAAACCGGAAGTGGTGCTGTGGCTCAAACTGGTAGAGTACTAGCTTTGAGCAAAAGTGTTCAGGGGAGCCGGGTGCCAGTGGCTCACGCCTGTAACCTATCTACTCATGAGGCTGAGATCTGAGGATCATGGTTCAAAGCCAGCACAGGCAGGAAAGGCTGTGAGACTTATCTCCAATAAACCACTAGAAAACTGGAAGTGGTGCTGTGGCTCATGCGGTAGACCTCTTGCCTTGAGCTGAAGAGCACAGGAACAGCGCCCAAGCCCAGAGTTCAAGCCCCATAACCGACAAAAACAAACAAAACAGACAAAAGTGTTCAGGGACAACTCCCAAGCCTTGAATTCAAACCCTATTACTGAAAAAAAAAGTTCAAATGAGGAATACAATGCTCACTGGAAAGTGGATTCTATAGACAATTTCCATTCATTTCCCACAACCAGACCCCTGCTGCATCCTAGAAGAAAAGACTTGTGGCTCAAATGGCAGAACTTACTCTCACAGGGAGAAAAGATTTTAGCTGATCCATCCTCAACCTCTAATGCCTTGTCCCATGTAAAGATGGGGATTAGAGTGAATTTTCTGAGGGGAAACAAGCTCACTGAGGTGTTTTTTTTTTTTTTTTGTCTGTCGGTCATGGGGCTTGAACTCTGGGCCTGGGCATTGTCCCTCAACTCTTCAGGTCAAGGCTAGTGTTCTACCACTTGAGCCACAGTGCCACTTCTGGGTTTTCTGGTGGTTTATTGTAGGTAAGAGTCTCAAGGACTTTGTTGCCCAAGCTGGCTTTTGTTTTTGTTTTTTTGGGTCTGGTCGTGGGGCCTGAACTCTGGGCCTGGGTGCTGTCCCTCAGCTCTTCAGCTCAAGGCTAGCGCTCTACTACTTGAGCCATAGTGCCACTTCCGGCTTTTTTCTTTATGTGGTGCTGAGGAATTGAACCCAGGGCCTCAAGCATGCAAGGCAAGCGCTCTACCACTGAGCCACCTTCCCAGCCCCCTGCCCAAGCTGGCTTTTAACCGCGATCCTCAGATCTCAGCCTCCTGAGTAGCTAGGATTATAAACTTGAGCTACCAGTGTCCAGCTACTGAGGTTTTTTTTTTTGGTCATGGGGCTTGAACTCTGGGCCTGGGTGCTATCCCTGAGCTCTTTAACCCAAGGTTAGTGTTCTACCACTTGAGCTACAGCACCACTTCTGGCTTTTTTCTGCTTATTGGATGCTGAGGAAACAAACGCAGGGCCTCATGCATGCAAGGCAAGCACTCTACCACTGAGCTACCTTCCCAGCCCCAGGTCTTATCTTTTGTAGCTGATACAAGGACCAAGAAAAGCACAGTGGTTTGCTCACTTAGTGGTAGAGCCACAATGAGGACCCAGGAATGCCAAGATTCTAGATTGGGAGTTTACCTTGAAGAGTCAGATTCTGTAGCAAAAAGAGCACCTCAGTCTGACAGTCAGCCAAGTTCATGTCATGAAAGCTCAGCCTCTTCAGGGCTAGGTTGTACTCTGAAAAGAAGGTAGATGACCCTTAGCTCTCCCCGCAAAAGGAATGCTAGGTCCACATGTACCCTTTACCTAGGTCCTTACCTTTGAGTGTCTGTAACACAAGCCCAAAATCCTGGGGGGAAGCAAAGGTGGCACTATCCAGAGACAGCTGCTGCAGAGAACCTGAGGCCTTCAGAACAGAGCAGAGCAGAGGGGCTGGCTGCGCTCCTCGTGGAAATCCCATCTCCAGCTGTTCCAGGCAGTTCTCTGAATAGGGAGAAAATCTTGTAGCCACCTATCTCTACTCACCCCATAACAGGTTCCATCCTTTCTGGGGTACACTTAGAAAATCATTTAAAGAGTTGGGGATGTAGCTCAGTGGTGTAATGCTTTCATGGCATATTTAAGGCCCTGGGTTCAATACCTAGCCCCACCAAAAAAGAAAAAATTAGTTCTTAAGAGCTTAAGACATAATTAAATCTAACAGGGTGTACATAGTGCTGGGATATAAGAAGTAGGATATAGGGGGCTGGGAAGGTGGCTCAGTGGTAGAGTGCTTGCCTTGCATGCATGAGGCCCTGGGTTTGATTCCTCAGCACCACATAAACAGAAAAAGCTGGAAGTGGTGCTATGGCTCAAGTGGTAGAGTGCTAGCCTTGAGCTGAAATGCCGAGGGACAGCATGCAGGCCGAGTTCAGGCCCCACTACAGACCAAAACAAAAAAAAAAGGATATAGGGACATGTACCAAGGACTGAATCTAGTCAAGTGTGTGTATGTGTATATGTGTGTGTGCGTGTGTGTGTGTGTAGGCTAGTGCTCTACCACTTGAGCCACAGCTCTACTCCTGGCTTTTTGGTTAATTGAAGATAAGAGCCTCATAGACTTTTCCTGCCTGGGCTGGCTTTTAATAGTGATCCTCAGAACTCAGACTAAATAGCTAGGATTACAGGCCTGAGTTACTGGCATTGGCTTTATCTTGTTCTCTATCTTGAATGATGCCCCAAGTTTCAGCCCCAGTACTGTTCTTGATTTAGACCCTTTTTCTGGAGACTAAGCTGCCATGGCTACTCTATTGAGTTGGCAGTTTGTACAGTCCAAGATTATTCTAAAGAATGACAGTCCATGGGGCTGGGAAGGTGGCTCAGTGGTAGAGCGCTTGCCTTGCATGCATGAGGCCCTGGGTTCGATTCCTCAGCACCACATAAGCAAAAAGAAAAAAACAAAAAAGAAAAAAGCCGGAAGTGGCGCTGAGGCTCAAGTGGTAGAGCGCTAGCCTCGAGCTGAAGAGTTGAGGGACAGCATCCAGGCCCAGAGTTCAGGCCCCACAACTGGACCTCCCAAAAAAAAAGAATGACAGTCTAAAGGAGGAGCGTAATACAGAGAAGCCATGAATGAGAAGTAGTCCCCCACTTTCCCACAACTGTATTATGGAAGGTGTACGTGTGCACAGTGCTTCCATCACCTGGTATCTCCTCATCCCCAATTATGTGGCTAGGGGACCCAGCATTCCCTGGCACAGCAGGGTTGTCTCTCTGGCTCGGGTGGTCAACACGAATAGAGAGGACCCGCAGCAGGGGCAGGGCTCGCACAATGGCACGTGTCAGTTCCAGGATGGGCAGTGGTGAGAACAGGTCGCTGAGATGGAGGGCACGGAGACGGCATCCAACTTGGCCTGATAGGGCCCGCAGGCTGTCTAGCAGGCGGAAGATGTTAGAGCCCAAGCCTATGGTAAACAAGAGAGTT